AGCCAGGGCTAAGGATTTAGTTCAGTGGCATAAGCGCCTGCCTGGCAAGTGTGAGGTTATGAGTTTGATTCCTGGTACCAAAAAATAATAATAAATTAAATTAAATTAAATTAAATACTCTAAGCCTAGCTTGATGGGTAGTTCTGGCTGGTACACTGAAGAGCAGAATGCTGATAACCTTGCAGACAGTAAGGCCAAGCTCAGAAGGTTTTAGTAGGAACAACTATCAATTGAACTAGAGGACATGTGTGCTACTCTGGGGGGAAAAGGTCTACATTTTGCCTATGTCTGAAGCTTTCTCAGATATTAAGATGAAGAGCAAAGGACTGGCAGAGGAAATTTCAATGTAGTTCAACATTCAGGCTTTGATGTGGGTTTTGCTGACTGATTTTAGTCATTTTTTTAATCAAAAAGGAAACATCACATTCCATTTAAAGGAAAAACCACCAGCCACTCCATGTCTGCAGGAATGCCAAAGCAAACCAGCTCCTGAAAAACAGTTCAGCACCTTGGAGAACTTGTTTAGTGGAAAGCTGAGAGAAAAACAAGAATGCTACGTAGCTTAAAATGCTGCAAGGTTTTTGCAAATCAACCCATTCCATGGGTGAACAAAGCCCCTGGCTATTTCCCAGCATCCATGTGTGTACAGCTTTGTCCTCTGAACGTGTGGTGCAGTCGAACAGCCAAATGTTGCCTCACAGGTCAAATTCTCCATTTCAGCCAATGCTAAAGGAGGGGCAACTAATGCCACACCAGCTCCCCGGACAAACAGCATCAGGATATTCCATTTCAGTAGTTTGTACATCTCTTCATCAGTTCTATAGTGATCACAGTTTCTTCCACATCTCCCAATGTCGTGTTTAAACGCTGATTAGAAGGTGCCTCAAACCTCTGGGTCACTCCTCATTTTCACATAGAGATGCTCATCCACGCTGAATCAGATGAGATTCAGTGGCTCCTCTATGGCGTTGATGGTTTGTTGTTGGTCCATGTCACCTGCCATTTCTGATTTGAGTCATTTTATAGTAAGAATCAGGTGTAAGGGCTAGGGATTTAGCTCAGCAGCATAAGCACCTGCCTTGCAAGCAGGCGGTCCTGAGTTCGATCCCCGGTACCAGTAAGAAAAAAAAAAAACAAAAAAAGAATCAGATGTAAAAACCAGAGGGGAAAAAATTTGAAAAACAGTTTTGACTCAGGAGGAACCATATGAAAAGTGAGGGCCAAAGGATGTGTGGCTGTTAAATAGATTAGTGCCATTAAAAAGCAAACAAATACTTTGTTTGGGGACAAGAAAAAAAAATAATTGGGGCATCTCAGGAATAAGCAAGACCCCTTCCACTGCAGGATCAAACATGCAAAAGCGAAAACCTTTCATTTGAGGAGAGAGCCCCCAGAACTCCTTGTTGACAAAAGCTGCCTAAGGAATTGGTTCTCCAGGATTTGTTTCACCATGCTGGCATTCAGGCCCTCAAGATACTGCTGTTGCCCATTGCTCCAAGGGGGTCCAGCTACTGCCTGTGCTGGACACACTTTAGCTATTCCATGTGATGCTAGTTCTACCAGAATGCAGAATGCAAGAGTTGTGGGGTCACATAGGCCTCTCCCCAGATTTCAAAGGAAGGGCTAGGAGGCTAGGCAAGAAGCCCCTGAAAGGGCAGCGCATGAAGCTGCAGGGATGAAGCCAAAGGTGTAGTGGAGACTCCAGGAAGCCAGAGATACCAGTAACACAGAACATCTGCTGAAGAAAGCCACAGGCACTGAGCACAGCCAGCCCAAGAGAAAGGCTGTGTAGCCTGCAACCAGCAAGACCATAAGTGTGGGGCTACTCAAACCCTTTGGTACTCACATTTCACCACCCTATGCCCCAGATACTGAGGTATAAGGACTTACTGACTACACTGCTGTCTTTCAGGTTTGTGTTGGCCTCATTCTTGCTATTCCCCTCTTCCTCCCTTTCAGAATAGGAATGTTTAACCTCTTCCTTTATACCTTGTGATTATGTAATTGATTTTTACATAGGATCACAGCTAAGAGTTTGCTTATAGTCACAGAAGACTTAGATGCTTGAAAAATGCTGAAAGTGTTGACATTTTGGGAAGAGATTACTGGTTTTGGTTTTATTTACTGTATCTGTGTCATATTAAGCAGAATTAGGACTTTTTGTTTATTTGGAAATTAAGAATAGTTTAAGGGGCTATGTTTGGGCACCTTGCTGACAAAGGGTCGGACATAAAAGTTAAGCTTCATTATGTCATTTGGCTGGTCAGGGTCCACCTGGGCTTCACGGACACATTCCTGGGTGTGGCTGGGGGTCCTGGAGACACGGGCATGAGCACTGTATCTGACCCCTCACCCATTGCTCCCGGCACTGCTCTCTTGCTCTGCTTCCTCCTCATCATGCAGTCAACAGCTCTGCTCTGTCACACCCTTCTGCCATGATGTTCCTGCCTTGGAGCCAGCCAAGCATGAACTGGATTTCCTGAACCCATGAGCCAAACCTAAGCATCTCCTCCTTTATGTCGTGGGCATCAAGTATGGGAAGGCTGTCTGGTCACTCAGCTGTAGAGTGTCCCTGATTCAAGCTCACTGCATTCACTGTTCTCTAAAATGCCTTCCCTCCAGATACGCACATTGCTGGATTCCTTTCTTCCTTCAGGTCTCTAATCAAATGTGATTTTCCATCTTTGAAATCCTTTCTAAAGACACTTTCTCAGCACGCTCCATTCTTGAGTCTTCCTTTACATTTCCCTTTCTGTCACTTATTACCTGGCATTGGTATTTCCTTATCTGTTACCTTAGTCCATCTCCTCCTCCAGTATGTAAGTACCTGTCTGCTTTAGTCACCATTCCGCCTGCGGAGCCCAGGCAATGCTCAGAACAACACAAAGAAGTAAATATTTCTTGAGAACAACAATTAAACTCTGACTTAATCACAATTATGCTCTTCCCACTGCACCACACTGCTCCTCAGGAAAAGGATCTAAGTGTCTACAGTTTGTTAATTCCCCCATAACAAACTAAAATGCTCCTGCCTTACATACCTTCATCTTTAGACCCTAAAAAAACCTCAGCACCCAAAAATGCTATGTAAACATGAGAAAATGAGTGAATGGAGAGTAACCATAAAAGAAAGTCAACTGGAGAAGACTCAAAGGTCACAGAAAGACCATGAATACGCACTCTCTGTACCAATGGCTACTGGGGGGCCAATGTTTCTCTTATTTCCTTATGCTTTAAGTCCAAGCCACAGAGGAATTTTGAAGGGTATAAAAAAGAGTCAGATGTGAATTCTGACTTCAAAAATCTAATATAGGGCCAGAGATGTAGCTCTGTGGCACCAGCACCTGCCTGGCAAGTGTAAGGTCCTAAGTTTGAGTACTGGTGAAAAATCAAAAAATAAATAAACAACAAAAAAGCTAATATATGTGTCATAATCAAAATGGAAATTTGAATACACACTAATGAAAGAAATACAATGAAGTAGTTAGAAAATTTCAAGATGAAAGGAATTACTTCCAGTCGTGTGAAGTTATGTTTTCACACAAAAAAGATGTGGCAGCTGAACTGGTTAAACTGAATATTGATAAATGAGTAACAAACATGATAACCTTTAATCCCCTGAAAAACAAGAACTGCATTCTATTCGTCTTGTGTCTTTAATGCCTCGCAAAATGTCTGAAACATAAAGGCATCTGATAAATGTTTAACAAACAGGAAGAGCATGGCATTCCCACAAAAGGAAAAGGTCCATAAAAGAAAAAGACAGCAGAAAGCAGGGCTTTTATGAGCAACAATAAATAGTGACCATTAGCTTGTAAAAACAGATGGTGAAAAGAAATGGAAGAAAGGTTCATGAAAAGGAATGGCAAGAAATAATATGCTGGATGCAGCAGCACACACTATGTAATCCCAGCACTCTGGGAGGCTGAAGCAGGAAGATCACAAGTTAGAGCCCTGCCTGGAGCCTTTTGCTTCACTGAATGCAGTCTACCACTGCTTCACCCAAACTGCTGAACACCCTACCAGGACACATTATTTAAAGACATATTCTCCGTAGGAATCGCTTAATACTCAGATTCTCCTGTCTGGCAATGCTGCCAGTCACATAACCTAGATGGTTAACTTTTCTTCTCCCTACTAGAGTACACAGGGACACCGGGCGTTGGGAAGTTTAAGGCAGGTGGAAGTACAGCACAGCTTTTTGACTTTGAGAAGATTTTGACCTTGCAAAGATTAAAACTATGACATAAGAGCCAATTTGTTCCTCAGTTCTTTCCAAAAGCAGAACTGAGTAAAGATGAATAGGAGACACTGTAATTTCCCTTAGCGTGAGCATTAAAATGAGCCAGAGGTAAGAAATAAGAAGAAATGGATTAAATTGACCCCCCAACTCCCATACTGAGGACTGAATCCAGGGCCTTCCCACTCAGCTACATCCCCAGAACTTGGATTGTTTGTTTAGAGACAAGATTTCATTAAACTGCCCAATCTGGGCTCCAAACTCAGTGATCTTCCTGCCTCAGCCTCTCTGAGCGTTGGGATTACAAGTGTGCAACACCACGCCCAGTTTAATCGGAACATTTTTGAGGGGAAAATAAAATGGTTTTAACTTAAAAACTAGATACTCAATTCTTTAAATTTGCCTCCAAAGTGGTAAAGACTGAATCTTGCCCAATCACAACTTCATGAACTCTGATTGACAATCAATAGTGATTCAGGGAACATGATGGAGAAAGGAGACGAAATTTTAAATCACTGAAAATCTACCAAAAGGTATTATGCTCCCCCAAATAAGCAGGATGACAACCAAATGATAATTTAGAACTTCACCCAGATTTAACAGGAACCAGGCATCTCATGTGGACACCTTTGTTTTCTAAACCTCAAATCCTGGATGTAGGCCACGCAGAGCCACTTAGCTGGTTGTCTGGGCAAAGGGGCACCAGAACAGCACCAGGAAGCCTTTCTGGGGCGCCTGCCTGAAGACCCGCACCACTCACCGCTTGTCAATGGCGTCAATGTTTGAATGGAGAAGCCACAGCTCCTCCGTGTTGTCCTGCCGGGAGGACAGGATCAGGTGGTGGCCGGTCAGGCACAGGGTCCCCTCTACGGCCGGATAGAACGGCCGGTGCAGCACCACGTTGTCCACCCGCGGGGTCTTGATCAGCTCCGCAAACTCCATGCTCCCCCTACGGCCGGAGCCTGGGGACGGCCGGGTCCCCGAGCGGCAGGGCTGTCACACCGTTTCGAGGCCGAGGCTGGCCGGGCACCGGGCGGGCCGCGGGCGGAGCCCAGGGCGGGGCAGGCCGGGGTGGGCGCGGCGAGGCCTGTGGGACCGTATTGGCCGCCGCTGGAGGCTGCGACTGGGGCTGGGCTCGGCCCCGGCGTCTCGCCGACACTTCCCGTTCACCCAAGCCCGGGACTCGGCCCCAGAGAACGGCCGCGACTGCCTCTGCAGCAGCCGCCGCGGCCACCAGGGCACCAGGGCTCAGGCGGGCAAGCTGGAGAGAGGAGAAGGCCACTTTATGGCCTGCTGCCCAGCCCGAGCCGCTAGGGACTCCTGGCGGAAGTAGTTGTTCGCAACCAGAGTTACCGTAACTCCGGGCGGAAGCGGCCGAGTTGAAAACTCGGAAATCTGAGAGGTCAGTACCGGAAGTTGGTCCTAGCCGAGGTCCTCTGGAAATGCTTCCCGACGCACAACTAGAGTGGAAGATTCTGTTCCTACTAAAAAACTTTGCTTTGCTTTCGCGCATTCCCGCCGCACTTCTCATCAGACAACGTCCGGGAAGAGGCGATGAAAAGAGGTTCGCGTCCCGACTTCCTCGGGAGTAGCAGTCGGCCAACGGGCTCCAGGGCCTGGGACTGCTGTAGCTGTGGCAATCTTCATGCATTCGCTGTGAAGAGAAATCAAGGGTCAATGGAGACAGTGACTGTGACCCGGGAAAAGCCCAGGGACATGGGCTCGATGCCACGCCTCTGTAACCTTAAACAAGGAGCAAGACAGCACCCAAATACCTAGGAAGGGCAGCGAGATGGGTGCAGAAGAGGGACAAAACCTCAGCCTGCGAGGACTTGCCAGAGGATTCAATTGGTCCAGCTATGCTACCCCAGGCACCTCAGCTATACCAGAGCTGGACTAACACAGTTTCTCCTTGTTCATGCTCCTCTATTCCCCTCTAAGCCGACGTTGATATTCTAAAATAGGAAACAAAGAGAAATTTTATGTTAGAGACCCGACCAGCTTTTCTTTCATTAGTCTGTTAAGTTTTCACCGTGTGGTGCCCCAGAACTGTGAGCTGACCAAAATCTCAATGACCAAACCTCACCAGATCAGCACTCTTGTCCTTACTTTGTCTTTGACCTTCCTAAAATGTTCCCCTCTTAAAGCAAAACCCTGTGCAAGGTTGTTACCTTGAGAGCACAGGTTAGCTTATTTGTCCGCAAAAGTGAAACATCAACAGAAAGGAGATTATGAGGGAAACCATCTGAGTCGTTTTTCTAAACTGGAATTTTCTAATCTTTCATGTATGTGGTTTATTATAACCATTACCAGTTGTGGAAGGGAGCTTTTCTTCTAGAATGAAGAGTCAGGGAAAGTTTTTTGGAGAAAGTGTCGTTTAAAAGGGGGACTTAAAAGGAAATAAGGAAGGTTTACACTCTGGATTGTGGCCAAGGTAGATACCAGTTGAATATCTACTAGAAAAGGGGAATTCCTCAATAATCCACTAGTTTTTTAATTCTGAAAAGCGCATACACAAAGACTATGACGCATTAATTTTAAAGTGTTTAATATTCTATGAAGGCATAAGCTTTTAATTTTTCCCCACAACATAAAAGTATCAGTATCTGCTGAATTGTTATAATGAAACACTAGAAACTGTTGGATAATCACTTCTGTGAGGTGAAGCTCAAAGCATGGAAAACCCTTGAGAGCCGAAGAAAATAAAAATTTAGTGTAAAAGTAGACCGTTGGCAGAGGTGGCCAGCACTTTGTGACATAAACAGTAGGTGGCGGTGGAGTTCAACAATCACTAGGCTTCCATTTAATCCAAATAAACTGTAGTCAAAGGTATCTAAATTGCTGGACACAGAGATCTCAAGGTTTTGGAAGGTGTTTATGATGTAAAGAACTAACTCAATACCCTACAACTGTTATCATCACTCTGTGAGAGAAAATGGTATTAATAAATTAGTCTATAAAATCAACTAACCTTGATTGTGTCCCCTTAGTCACTGTAGGAAATGGAAGCAACAGACCCGACATGAATCTCACTCTCTAGCTAATTTGGGAAGGCTCCTCACACACCCCATAGGGCTAGCAAATGAAAGAAAAGCAAATGCTAACTTTCAAAGTACAGGTTTACTCTCCAGATCCTGTGTTTTCCTGCCTTGGGTAGTTTGCAGAAAATGAGGCAGGTAGTTTGATGAAAGCCAATTAATAATTTCCAAACTAGGATGGAGAAGGCATTGCCTGGGTGTCCGCCTGATGAACACTGTCCTCTGTGTTTCTCTTGTTCATCCCAGGTGTTGCATGTGGTCCTCTCCCCAACTTCTCCCAAGCACACCAGTCACCGACTTCCTATGCTGTCTTTTAGTATATCTTTAATCCCTTTCATTCTCTCCATGCCCAAGGCCAAGAGTTTAGTCCAGGCCACTGCCATTTCTCTCTTGAATAACCGGAAATTTCTTATAACTGGTCAACTTTCTTTCCCTGGGGTTCCCCTTCCATCCGCTCCTCTCTCTCTCTTCAGGCAGTGGTCAGCATTGCAGGACTCAGCTATTCTACTGTCTCCATCTTCAGCAGTCCCCACTTCTCACGCCCTGTCATTTTTCATTCCAGGCACTTGCAAACAGCTCGTGGTTTCCTTCCTGAAATTTTTTGCACCAGCTCTAACATTGCTACTAAGTGGAAGTGTGGAACAACGACCAGCTTTTTTGGCATCCTCTGGGAATTTGGCTAGAAGTTCCAAAGCTATTGATCAGATCTACAATTTAAGATTCCTGGATGATGTGTGTGCACAGTGACATTTGAGGAAGCAATGTTTTAAAGACTGCTTGATCTGTCTGCCTGGAAAATGTTCTTCTGCTCAATGACACAGTTAGAGACCACTGTATGGAGAGAAGAAAAACTTCCGAATGCTTAGCTTGTTACTCATTAAAAGCATTTGTGTTTTCTTCTAACCCTAACCCTAACCCTAAGGCAGCCAAGGACTTTGAAGTGGTTGTTTCTAAATAAATAATAGTGACTCTTCACTTGAGCTTCCAGACACCCAATAGATAACTAAAAGCAGAACAATCTCCTTTGTTTTCTTAAAACTGAGTCAGACCCATACTTAGCTCTACATACAGGATGCTAATCACTTCAGGATGTCTGTCTTAAAGCTGGGAATACAGAATTGGTGAGTTAGCCCTAAATGTATATGACCTATTTTGCCCACCTTTAAGACTGGAGACACCAGGATAAAAGACATACAGGGACATTCAGCTACCAGTGAGCACCAGGAAGTCCCCAGCCATTGCCCTGACTTCAGCAGTGTCTCCACAAAACAGACTTCCCCAAGCAGAAAACATCTCACCACAAACAAATTGCTCCTTAAAGCAAAAGAGCTTCTCGAAGGGCTATAAAACCAGAAGTGAAGTCATGAGCCATCAGACCCTGGCCCACTGCAGCTCGTCTAGAAAGGCTGGTCTCGTTCTTTTGCTAACGGTCCAGACTGATCCCCTCTTGGGCCCCTCCAGCTGAAATCCCTTCCTTTGCGTCTCTTACTTTCTAATTCTGCCTAAGTAAATCTGTCTATGCCTCACACTGTTGTGTCCTGAAATTATTCCACGGGGCTGGGTGTGATCTCCGTCTCTTTAGGGAGTCTTTGTCAGACTCCATCCAGGGACAACAACACCTTGTTCCTTGACCTTTTGGTGCCTGTCCCCCTTCAGCTTTCATCTCAGGTGTCACTGACTCTGTGAAGCCGGATTCCTCCTATGACTATGGCTACCACATTATATAGGCTCCACAACACCACATCATAATAGCTCATAGCATGAATGTCCCTGTGTTCTAGATGTTACACTGTGTCCGTCTGTGTTGTCTCCTGCATTCCTCACGCTGCTCTGAACTGATATTAAAGGCTGAATTATGCCCCTCATTTATGTGTTGGAATCCTAACCCCTAGTAATTGCATTTGGAGATAGCATGTTTATTTTATTTTATTTTTTGTTTTGTTGTTTAAGACAGGGTCTCACTATGCGGTTCAGGCTGTCTTTGAACTCACAATGTACCACAGACTGGCCTCAAAGTCATAATTCACCTGCCTCTGCCTCTCAAATGCTGAGATTTCAGGCATGTTCCACCATGCCTGGCTAGGAGATAGCATCTTTAAAAGTTATAATTAAGTTCAAAGATGTCACTAGACTGTACTCAACTCCAGGATAACCAGAACAGAAGATTAGGACACAGATGGTCACAGATGGGAAGACCACATAAAGATACAGGGAGAAGCAGCCATTCACAAGCCCCGGAGAGAGGTCTCCACTGAAACCAACCCAGTGACACCTGATCTTTGACTTCCTATCTCTAAAATGGTGAAAAAATAGACTCTTGTATTCACACCCATCTTACCTGTGATATTTTGTTATTGTAGCCCTGCAGTGATACAACAATACAATACAAAATGGCTCTTACTCTTTTCCCAGTGAGGAAACAGGCGTGGAGAGCTTAACAACTTTTCCAAGGCCAGACGACAAGAAGAAGTCCAGACCCAGATCTAGCAGCCACGTGCAGACTCAGTGATCTTCACCACTGTGGCCCACAGCCACCTGGACAACCCGAGTCCACTTTGGTTTCCCTCTGATTGTGCCACTTAATAATCAATGTTGAGAGACTTTCTGTGTCCATAGCCTCCCACTGGTAAGCTCTGTGAGGGCAAGGACCATGCCTTGAGCCTGTATTTATTCAGTAGTTGCCCTGCATATGTGACTTTCCATACTGCATCTTGGCCTCCCCAGTCCTGGTCATTTTAAATACGATAATCCTGTGATTTTAAATACGATTGCAAACACGGTTGGTCGCGTTTTGGTGAGAGCAGAGAGGGGTAGCGTTCCTATCGTTCCCACCTGTAGGTAGGTGTCCAAGCCGTGAGTAACCTTCCAGGGACAATGACACTGGTAAGCTCTTATGTTTGGCCAGTGGACTGCTGCTTGTCAGTGTGTTAAAATGTGCTTCACACAGGACCCATCTGGAACCTGGAGAAGCAGAGAGCGGAGGTGCTTCTCCAGCCCCTTGAGGCTCAGAGCTGTCCTTTGGAGGCTGATGCCCAGCAGCGGGGTGACACCCACAGAAGCACACCTGAGTGCAGGGCCCAGGCTCCTGCGGTCCCACCAATTTAATCAGACTCATTTTACACAGTTTTTGTCTGTTAGGATCCGGGACTGTTGCTGGTTGGAAGAGACTGAGGGTGAGGTCTCACTGACCTCACCAAAGAATAAAGTTACAGGGATGCGGAGAGCATGGAGGGGTCTATGTTCGGATCCTGTGCC